GGCCCCCCCCCCCCCCCCCCCCCCAAAAAAAACAGAACAGAAACCTTAATTAAAATGTATATTTAAAATCAACAAGAGGAATCTACAGTATGATGCACGATTGGTAAATAAGTTCTTCAACTATGAGCATCGATACTCAGCGGAGAAAAGTGGGTCAGGATCTTACACACACGGCATCGAAAAACATAGAAACTTCGCCTCAACGCAGTCAACAAAACCAAGCGAATCGTAACGACCTTCGGGGATTCGAAATGCGAAACAGCGCATGAAAATCATGTTTTACCATCATTGGAAATCTAAACAATCAACTATTGAACAGCGTCCTCAGGTTTAGTTTTAAGAACGATTTCTTCAAGAGGTCGAAAAAAATAAACTGTTGAACGAGAATCCATGGTCATCGTTAATCTAGGGATTGTTCCGAAAATTCGCGAATAAGTTTTCAACACATTTCCTACATTTGCTCGGAGTTCCACATTTATGAATACTGAATTAAGTACTGTACTACCGTATTTAATTGAGGGCTCGAGTAAGATACGCATCTCATTCTCAGTGACTCTCTAGAACTGCAATATTTCGAAGATAAGAAAACTGTAATTTGAATTAGGACTTGAATTCAAAATTCATTTTTCCCAAATAAAAGAGGTTTTCTGACAAATTCCATCCAAAATTTCCCTATAAAATCAAGTACAGTATAATGCACACCTAAACTTCCAAGTTTTAAAAGAAAAGTACTCTATGCCTACCTACCTATGACCCCTCTTTTATACATCTTGAATTTGAAATATTAAAAAAAAAGGTGCGCGTCATCTTCGTCACCAAATTTCCCACACAGCAATATTCCTTAAGCCTTTACTTTTTATAAACCGTTCTGAATACAAACATGAGAAAATTCACTCGCATGCTCAAAATACCGTACGTCTGTTCATTTACGCAATTATCATTCTCCTTCAATCATTAACTTTCTCTAGCTGATCCCGGATTTTCGGTCAGAAACACACCCAGTCAATATCCTCAGCTGTCCCCGTGATTTTCCTTTTTGGCATAAACCCAGCCGACAAGGAAATAAAGGAGCTGGCATCTCACGTCTTTCACAGTTCTTCCATCACTTTTTACACACACACACACATTCACACAAGGTCCTCGGAATATTCCAAGACAGTGTTCCTGGCTTGATTCCAGGTCACTCGCAAGGGGATCATGACTCGGGAACACGAGAAGCGAACATGACCGAGGCAAAAAAAAAAAATGAAAAAAAAAGAAGAGAAGAAAATAACTCACCACAATCTCTCCGTAGGGATCGCAGAGTTTCCGCACGTCGTTCGCCGTCACGCTTTTCGGAAGATTCGCCACGAACAACGTGCGAGTGGCGTTCGGGTGGTTCTCGTTGAAATCGTCGTCGAACGGTCTGCGAAAAGAAATTGAAAGAAAAAAGGGAAGCAAATCAAAATCAAGTCATTCACGCCATGAAAGTCAATAGTACAGTACTTCACTTGACTCAAACGATATATAGAAAAAAAAAGATATTTTCACGCATGGAACCCTTTTCCCGCCTCACCAGAAACGAAACTCCATTGCACCATCGCAAGTATCAAAGAATGAGACAATTTTCATTTATTTCCCCAACACACAGTCCCGAATTCAGGACACGGAATTTCCTAACCGATCTACGTTGTGACCCAGTATGGCTGCCATCCAGAAATGTATTTCTCGCCTGCCTTCGGATAAGATCAGAATTACCATTCCTTCACGTCCCATTTCTTCCACGAACGCGGGAAAGACGCAATTCGGCGGCGCGAAATCGTTCCAAGAAAAGCGGGGAAGAAATTCGCAAACGTCGAACTGCGCAGATTTTCCCCTCAAGTTCTTCTACATGCAGTCAAGTCATCCAGTGCAATAGAAAAGCTTTTTCGTAAAATTTCACACAACGCGGAGGGAAGCTCTGAAATCTAGAAAACCCGAGCCCAAAACCCGGAGCCTTTCTAGAAATACAGCACAAAAAGCTTCGACTGCGTCTGAATTTCATTTCGACAGGAAATTCTGCAGCACTATTCGATCAACAAGACAAGATCATCGGTCACTAGCACGAGAAGCGTAAGTTTCACTGTATTTTCTTATGGTCTCTTCGACTGGACTTGTCACCATGACTTGTTGATTTTCATTAAAAAGGTTTCTGTTGCGAATAAAATGAATGAAATCATCGTTCAAAAATACGAAACGAGTCATTTCAGAGAAAGAAAAAAAAAGACAGCTCCCACGAACATAAAGTGTGAGAAAAAACAATGCGTTCAGCACACGTGTCAGAAGATCATGCTGCGAAATTCAATACCGATTCAAGTCGGTCTCATCAAAAGCTATCATAAAATTCATAACCGTGTGATCGATTACAAAAAATGTACCGACACGTTCAACAGTCGACAGACACCTTTTCCGACGCCCGTCTGCACGTGTATCGTTTTCATCCTTCCGTCACGCACTCTAAATTGCGCCAGCCCAAAAATAAAATTGCAGTGCAGCACAGCACAGCACAGTACTGTACCGTACTGCACATCACATCCAACCTGGCGAATCGACCCAGCGCTACTCCGTGACTTTTCCGCCCAAATCTCTCTCCTCTCTCCCTCTCCACCAAAGCCGATGATTACGCGACTCCGAAGCGAACAGAGAGAGAGAGAGAACAACACAAATAAGAAAAGACAGAAAGAGAAAGACAGACAGAAGCAGCCAAGCCAAGCCAACAACACACAAGAGACGAGGCTCATCTCGCCTCGGCACGCTCGATCTCATTTTCACGCATTACTCCCATCATTCACGCTCCGCTCCGCGACGCGCGCGGGATCTCTTTCATCACGCGCTTTTATGCACGGCGCAGAACACGATCCCTCGTCCCACCGTGACTCTACGTCAGCCGCACTGCAACACGACTCGGCCATTCATCAAGACCCACGTCGACGTCGCACCGAAAGAACCCCGCCTCAGCACACCGAGGAAATTCATCTGAGCCAAGCGGACCCCGTTTCGGCAACAATACCCGTATTCACACAGAATGCCACTGCACTACTACCACAGGTGGACTCTCTCTCTCTCTTCAGAACGAAACTCAAAGGACCAGGCAATATTTTTTCAAGAACTCGTTGAAGAACACTGGGGGATGACACTATGGAACCTCGAAAGAAAAAATTGTATACAGTACAGAGAAAATCGTGGTAGAGAGAGTCAACCTGTACAGTACAGTACTTCATTTTTACTGTCCGTCGACATTTCGCAGATGGAAAAATAGAGAGAGAGCGTCATTTTCGAGCACAAATTAGAGCACCATGTGTTTCCCTTTCCTGAAAACATGGGTGCACTCGGAAAAAAAGTAATGCAGGTATTCAGATGAACGTTAAAGTATCATATTATCTGGCGCTGTCGATAATTGTGTCAAAAATGAAAAAAAATCAACAGGCGGAATTCATGCAATAGTTTCTATGAGAAACACACTTTTCCACACTAAGATTTTACTCAATCGTGTTCTCCCTCTCCAACGATTTTCTTTTCGTTACACAGGGTTCTATCCCCATGTCATAAACGTTTTTTTTCCTCAACGAAATGCTCTCTGCAACAAATGTTTTCCTCCTTCTGGTCCCTTGAGTTTCGCTGTACTGTACAGAGATTTCACCAGTAGTACATTTTTCTTCTGATCGCAGCAGACTTTCCTATCATTATTAAAGCAGCTCCTCCACAATATTCTGAAGAATCTCAACACAAAAAATTATACTGCACTTTGGACCCTGCGTAGCCTTCAAAAAAGTCCTACATTAATTGCAGGCCTGCGAAGACCAGAAAACATGTTCCTCATTATGATTTACACAAGACACAGCTGGTCCCAACTGCATAAAACCACGGTCGTAACGAAAAACACTTCACAACGTAACAGAAATCTTCCTTACCCGACGGGGGCATCCTCGAATGGTGACATGATGTCACTCATAAATAAACACAAACGCACTTTCACAACTACACAAATCAGAATAAAAAGAAAGACAACTTTTTCAGTCGATCCAACCAAAAGTAGGGGGAAAAACCAAATTGTCCCTCGTGAATGCAAGAAACCGACTTCGCACCAAAGCGTTCGTCCCCGTCTCACAAAAAAGCTTTAATTTACTGCGCGAAGACCCTTCGGTCTGGTCAGCGCTCAAATCACAATCCATGCTTGAAAAAAGAAAAGAAAAAAAAATACACACACAGGGAAACCATGCTGATTCCCGCGAAGCGAAAAAGAAATCCCGTCAGCTTCACCACACTTGAATGCGCGAAATCCAAGCGAATGACATTTTCCTCCCAGTTCTCTGTTTGACTCGGTTGCATAAAAGCACAAACACGCATTAAAAGAAGAAAGAAAAAAAGCACACACACACACACACACACACATATACACGATTTTCGTACACAGTTGGTGCATATTCCCGCGAGTGCAATCAACTCGGCGGATGGACGCCAAAGCGTGACAGCGGAACCACACACACACACACAGAATCGCATGCCGAAAGACCAACGAACGCGTCACGCACCGACCGGAACACTGCTCTTGCGGAGAACATCACGAGACTCGGGGCTGCGTAACCACGCATTTCTTTAATCTTCTTCGCGGGGCGCAAGTAAAAGAAGAATCGTCATGATCATCTTCGCCGAGTCCCGGAGACTACGAAAATCCGGGATTAACCTCGCAGAAGAAGAAGAAAAGCTCGAGGTCAACTTCATGCGGCTTTCCACTTCTGGCAACCGTGAGTGCAGTGGGACCCCGACATACGGACGAGCTGACTTGGGGGTTTACTTGCAACTCCAATAATCTACCCCCACACACTCAGTGTCTCGAGATAGTGTACGAACACTTCTACAACATTCTAGAACCCTCCATTCCTAGGGAAAATGGAAACATTACATTTTTAAAATTTACATTTCTTGAACAAATTGAGCTAAAAGTTCACAAACGAAATACTGTACAGTAATGTACTATAAACTTGAATTCACTATCAAAAACAAGCCATTTTTTTCTTTTCCCGCCAACTCCTCCTGATGCCAAAAAAATAAGATTCTGTGCGGTTTTATTCGATCTTCGGGCAACTTTTTCCTAAATTTCGATTAACAGGTGAACCAATTAAGCATGTCCCCATTGCAGTCCACGAGAAAACGTGATCAAACCTGCGTACGTTCCGAGATACGGACATGATCACGTTTTCCCACAGACTTCAACAAGAGAAGTCTTGCTGTACTGAGCACAGATTGTGGAGAATACTGTACCCAGAAGAAAAAGAAGCACAAAAAACTAACCTGTTAAATTCGAGTAAATTATTAATGAAATTTATTTTCAATTTTTAAGATTACAGCTCAATTTTTTCAAGAGATATACAAATTAAAATTATTTTTTGGAAATTATCTCTTGACATTGTCCGGACAGATATACTCATTGGGGTTTCAAGTGTACCCAAGTCGGATCGTCCGTATGTCGAGGTCTCATCGTAAAAGATTATTCCCTCTCTCTCTCTCTCCTCCCTCAGCAGCCACGGGATTCGGAATCACGCCACAAGAGCCGAGGCTCACGCGACAACGTCGCTGACGCTCGCAGGAAAACGCGATAAGCCGATCTTCCATTCCCTGACGAAAGGTACAGTACGAAAGAGAGGTGAGGTGAGGGTAGGAAAGGGACCCCCCCCCCCCCCCCCCTTTGAAAGATAAAGACACGCTCGCATTTGTTTCATCCCAATGCATCTTCCGCGAGATAACCCGGATATCTCCTCACTTTTCCTCCCCGACTATCGGCACCTGCGCTCGTGGATCCGAGCCACTCACTGTCTTTGCTCGCGAAACACCGAAATGCATCCCGATATTGACAACACACACACACACATCACATTTCCGCATCCTTTCCCGAAACCTTTTCGCAAACAACGGAACCGAGTCTTCGTTGCAACGAATCTGGCCTGGGCAAACACACACGACCGAAAGCAACGCGGGTTCTGGTTCTCAAAAAGCGTATGCGCGCATTCCGACATGAGAGGCGTACAAACCCGAGCATCAAAGCCGGGACAACATCACCTGATTCAAACATGAATAATGCTCAGAACGCATTCCGTTTATCTTACAGTTCTCATCTTTACAACAACTCTTAAGGCCCACTCGACGTCTTCGTAAAAAAATAAATAATAATAGCATTAAATCCTCCCAGCAAATTTGCAATTCACCAATTGAAATTCGCTTAAAAAAAAACTTTCACGGAAGAGAGTCGAGTGAATTTTCATAAAGTTATAATTCCTCAAAAGTATTAGCTGAACTTTCTCAATACTGCGAGGTATCAATATTTCCAGGTCAATGAATACGACATCAACTTGGATCACACTCAATCCCAGAAAATAATTTCAATTTCATTTTTAAATACGCAATGAAGGACCTACCATATGTTCAAACAAATGCAGCCTTCGTTAATATGGTAAATTCGATCGATTAAAAGTGCCTTAAGGTATATTGCTTCAATAAATACTCTCAGTAATTCAAATACATTTCTTGATCGGCAGTATACGCCACAAATCAAAATTGCAGTACTGTAAATATTTCTCGATCACGTCCTTTGCCAATTTTAATATCCACTCTTCACTTCGACTAACACAACCCCTTCTCAGTGCGATATTGCCTCTTCAAACACGAATTTCAGTGGTACTGTACTTATCAATCCTTTGTTTCAAATAAGAGATCAGCGACGAATACTGATCTGGAAAACATTCGGAAGCAAGAGAGCTCCAAAATCAAACTGTACAACACGAATTTGTGTCAATCGGAGCAGGTCGATAAATCAATCTTCTCAATGATTTACCAGGGTCATGCTGATGGAAGAAATCTGCATGATCAACATCGGCTTCGATTTCAAGCACGAAAACACACCGGAGAGTAACCAAAGGAGACGAAATATGCATTAAAAATTTCTACAAAAAGATTCCCTCAGTGAAAAAATAAATGTAAAAAACATTAAAACTCACCCGTCGAAAGGAAACACGTCGATCTTGGAGCCCAAGAACGATTTGTCATGCGAGTCTTCCACTGCTCTCTCAGCTTCTTGAGCCCTGTAACGACAAAAAAGAATCGTGAAGAATGATTAAATCTGAAGGAATGCCCGACAACTTTTCCAACTATGTTCGTTCCCCCCCAACACGGATTACAAATCGCAACGATGCCCCAACATACACTTCAAAGAAGGGGTTCTCCGGAATTCGTTCGCAAATGATGACGGAATAAAATCTCGATCGGAATATTCCCGTCAGCATCCGGATTTTTAATTTCTTTCGCATTTCACGCGTCTATTTTTCAGGCGAACGATTCAGTCAGGAACAAATGAATATACATTTTCATGGCTCCGCAGAAAATGAGCACATCGGATACGGCCAGTAATCAGGCTGTCTCTGGATAGACCACACCGTCAAAAACTTGCATTTCAACGAAAATATATCAAGTCAACGCGAAGATCACAGGCGAGAATCCTGCCATTGGATTAATTTCTATTGCTCGGTTTGCTCCATTCAATCAAGCCCATACACTACACTCCTTGAGCCATTGGCAATTTCTGGAATTCCACAAACCAAATTTGATTGCAGCACCGTTCTACGAATGTATTAGCCACCTTCCATCAAAAATAAAAATAAATGGAAAATTCCTGTGCCCCACATACCGGCTGAAAATCGGCCTATAGATACAAGAAAATTGAAGTCTTCTCCTCTCAAAAACTTCCAGTCCAAGCTTTCAATCCCAACCATGACGCAAAAACCAAAAAAGGGGTGGGTTTCATTTTTCAAACCCCCCTTTCGACAGTATCCGCCCACAGAGGTGCAGGGTAATCCGACTCGTTCCATCCGCCCAAAAATGCCCGCCTAAAAATCAGGGTGCGGCCTATAATCGCGTAAACCCGCTTTTTCAAGGTGTGTCCAAGGATATTCCGATACGAAATTTTCACACGAAAGCAGAATTCCGCACGACTCTGGGGCTAACCAAGGATAAAAAAATAAAATAAAGAAAAGCAATGAAGAAAACAAAATGACGATGACGACGACGACCACCACAACCTGCTTGCTGCATCCCCCCTTTCCCCTTTATGCACGCACGCACGCAGCATTCCCCAACGAACCCTGCCAGAGTCTCCCCAACGACACGCGGGACGCCCTGGGCGCTTCGTAACGAGCAGCGATCAAGGGCAAATGCATTCTATGCCTCACTCCTCAGACGACCATCCACCACCAACACCACCACCATCGCCATCGCCGCCACCGGCAGCAGCAACAGAGCCGACACACTCGATCACAATCATTACGCGAATCCCCGACTAACGACTTGCTCATTAGCGGCACCATGTGCGAGTGTTGGCCTCCATTTCCCTGTGAACCGGGGCCAGTACAAAACATCTCTCACATTTGTCCCATTGACGAAGAGTCCAAAGCATCCAATGCGTCAGAACAATCAAGGCAGGACTGCCTCGATAGAAAATTAAACTCTCGCTTAAAAAAAAAAAAAGCCATAGGGACCAGTATAATGGTGTCGTCGCAATGAAAAATTTGTTCTGAAATAACTCACTTGATATTGTGGACATTGGACAAGGCTTCTGTTACAAGCGATTACAGCATTCGTTATAACAAGATTCTACTGTATGTCATACCCGAGAAGTTCGCTATGCGAAAAATTATATAAGGTACAGTATATTTTCGAAATGAAAAAAAAGTTGTCTGTTCCCTGAATAACACGGCGATCTAAGGTCTAGGTACTCCAAGGAACACATTAAACTTTTCTTTCACACGCTGGAAAAATTTGCAGGGTTTTCCCCAACGAATTCCTACATCCCAGCTCTACGTAATGTACTATAAAAAAAAAACAAATGGATAAAAAGCTCCAGTTCAACCTTCCGACGCATCAAAGCAGCATGAAAAACACGCAGCGTCAGGAAATGTGTCATTTTCCGCCACCGAATGGTTGGGCGAAAAAATAAAGAAAAATAAACTGAACCAGGGCCAAGAACTTGTTGTAAGGCCCAGCGAATCCTTAGGTCTCTCCCGTGATTCCCGACAGCGATAAAACATAGTCTCCCGAAAAATCTTGGGACATCCTGGACACAGGCCGACACACAGAGGTACGGAATCACGAACAAGAGAAAGAAGAAAAAAACAAAAGAAAGGTTGACGTGATCCGAGATCGTCGTCGGCCTCGACGACGAGGGTGACGTGCCCGTCAGGCCTCACAAAAACCATCGACACTCCGCATCTTTTCCTGAGAAATTCGGAATCGCCGCCAAGCCTCGCCTCCGTCGTCGTCGCATTACGCCTACCCCGCCTATTGCACAGTATCACCAAACATTCTTTCCCCCCGTTGAACCCAATCACTCGGGGGAATCTTGATGCATCATCCAACGACCCATCGGTCGATCGATTCAACAAGACATTCCCGCAACAATCAGAACCGATTACGTAACGACGTCTCTCGACTCCAACAAATCCTTGAATTTCGTTACGGAACCCGGATTTGACTCCTTCGGAAAATCTCGCGAGCACAAAACAGCGTGGAAACATGAAGCATAAATAAAAAATATTTTGCAAACTTCTTTCAACGTTTTTAAACCTGATTTTATAAAACACTGAAGAATATCGTTACCACGAATCTCGTTTTTCTAAATAATCGCTTAAAACGAAGTAATTTATAGGTTCCGGCCCAATAGCAACAATGATGGGTGATTTACTGTACAAAGAATATAAAACGAAGATATTCTACTGGTCCCAAAAACTTCGTTATAACGAGATTTTCCTTCGTACATCATCCCGAAGTTGATTTAAAAAAAAAAACATACCATTGGAGAGGTTTTTCGAAGGATTTTCTTCTGACACTCCGACCAAACCATGATACAGTATTACTGTGGAGCCCCGACAGAAGGACACCCCAACATGCTGGCGGTTCGACCTAGGGACACCATTTCGAGATATGGACACTCTTCCCAAATTTATTTAAAAAATTAAAATTTCAACATTTTAATAACTCGAACAAATCGAGGTCTTCATTTTCAACAAAAGCGAAAATAAATGTAACCTAATTTTCAATACAACACAGACAAATTTTGTGTACCTGTTTTTTGGCTTTTCAATCATCTTTGCACGGTATAGCAAAATGTATTCGTTCCAATAGTCAAAAAAAGAGAGATTCTATGCGGTATTTTTCCTCCACATGTATTTTCTGTATCTTTAAGTTAAGAAAATTCGCCTAGATTTTTCACGAACAAGAGAACCAATTGAATTTTTTCCTCTTCAAGTCCACGGGAAAACGTGATGACTACGTGCAGACATGAAGGAAAAGGTCCAAGAACCAAATTACGTCCGCATCTCGGGGCCCCGCAGTAAACTTGAAATCCATCACGTTGATTTGTGTCGCCTTGGCGTAGACGCCGCGGAATTTTTTCTTCCGCCCCCACGAATGGCGGCGGAATCAGAATCAAGACAGAAGAGAGAAAAACCTTCTAATTTAAATCCATTCCCCTCCACGACGGAGCGAACCCCCCATCCGAAATAAAACCCGATTACGTATTCGAGACTACCCCGGCTATAAATGAAAAATTCTCCTACCCGCAAAAAAAAAAAAAAACAATAAAATAAACTAGCGGAGAAATGGAAGGAGAGAGAAAAAAACCCTCCCGCTCCCATGTCGTCATCCATTATTCAACCCGCTCGCTCATCTCGACACTGTTTCCCCACACATGGAAGAGTCCTCCGGTCGTCGCTGGGCCTAGAAAACAATTTCCCTTGGCTCGTCCCTCGCAAGCACTCGTCTCGGGAAATGTAAATGGGAACCTGCTCTTGAAATATTCCATCCAGCGACGGAGAAGGAAGCAGCAAGAGCAACGACCGAATGTTTCAGAGTGCGGACAGAGACAGAGAAAGAAAGAAGAATAAGAAAAAAAAACTAACAAACGAACACAGGAAGAGAGAGAGGGGTTTTTCAACATTCCTCCAGCCAGCGGGGATCACTCTTCAAACAAAATCCCTGGCTTTTCCCCCGATTTGATTTCCCGCGTCGACGACTATCCCTAAGCCGGGATCGAAATCACTCACGAGAATCCATTCCATCAATCCACGGAATTCTCTACGACACACGCAAGCTTTGCAAGATTTTCAATCCGCTCAAACCACTTCAAACTCCTTCGGCTTTCTTTAACTCGAAAAAAAGAGGGAATAAAATTCGTAAGGTGAATCCGAAGTCGTTGATCGAAAACTTGAGAAGCTGGCTCAGGTCGGCATCTTACTTTCGCGCAGTGTGTGCAAAACGATGTTCAATTTTTATTTCCACATAAATATTCGATCATGTTCAAATACTACTTTTCTTAAATGTCCAGAAGACGAATTTTCCTCCTCTTTATTGATACACAAACGGTGACGAATGTTCATTCTCAGTATGGGACTGATAAGATTCATTCGAATGAAACTTAGTTTCGGAGACAAAACAATAACCGCTGATGAAATCAGGGAAATACATGTGGGAAACTCATTCGGACTCTTCAATTCGCAAACTTCTGCGACGTGCAAAATCCTCAGAGACACGTCATCTGTGATATAAATTATACAGTAATCTATTTTTCAAAAATACTGTAATTAGGAAATAGTTCTGTCAGTGCCCTTGTTGATTATTCACACAAAATGTTTGAACACTCGGTGACACTTCTTGCTCAGGGTTTTAAAACAGTTTCTCAATCATATCATGATATGTAACTCGTTGTGCTTTGAAAAGAAGTAAAACGCTTATTGGACAAATGAATCCTCGCCTCCAAATTCAGCATCCAGTCGAATCATTTAAAAAGGAATTTCAGGCCCAAAACATCACCATTACAATTTCTTGCTTTTTTTCACCCAAAGCAACAAAAAACGCTCATTTCCCCGACTCGAAACCTCACTTGATCGAATTTGGTTTTGCTGGTCTCTTGAAATTCGATCCCCTAGACTAAAACAATTCCAAGCAAACCATTCGTCAGTGAATTCAACCTTCCGTAGAAATCTCATTCTCGAGAAGAATGGTCGGGAAGAAGAAAAAGAAACTCATTTTCGCGCCCTGAAGATGAATCGAACCAAGCTTCATCTCTGCCAGCAGTTGAAGCCATCGTGAAAGAAGTGCATTTTTTCGGGCTGCAGACGGGCGAAAAATAGCTCGAAAGTTCGCGCACACATCCTCTGGGAGAGTCGGGAACCCGGAACAGACCCACATACACAAGGCCGTGCTCCAGTCCGGGCCATTATGAAGCGAGCCTCGACGCACCCAGCGGACCGTGACACGAGACATCAGTGTCGACAAGAGTGGGCGAGGCTACACACGTCCGTCATGAAAACCACTGAACCAGAAACGCACCCGCGGAAGACGAAAAAAAAAAAAGCCCCTCTTTTCTGAGGAATTTACTAGACGCAAGGAGGGCGGGGTGGAGGGGGACGATTTTTCAAAAAAATGAATTAATGAAAAGCTCCCAAACACACACACACTTTCGGTTTTGTTCTTCGTCCCCTCCCGAAAAGCGAAATCAAGGTCGCTGGTCACGACGACGAAGCTCACATACCGTATCTCCTCAAGAAATGAGACAGATTTCATGGAGTAGAATTCCGATTAATTTGGCTTCAAGATTGGGAGGCCAAATTATTTTAATGACATTCATTGAGAGGATGAAGAGCAGCCATCCAAGTTTCACATTTAAGTATTTAAGCGTCTCCTCTCCATCAAATCCATCTTCTCCTTTAGGATGATTTACATCAGACTGCACCGGAATTCTGGTGAAGTATTGTGATACACCCTTTTAGTACTTCTCACACTCATCGACGCCAAATTAACACTTTGGCCCGAGCTCTAAATTACAATCTCAAGAACTACGAATGTCCAAAACTCACCCTTCGGACATTTTTTCAGAACAGTTGTACAGTACCGCATTAGAAACATTCGACCTCTCGTGCGTTTTACATTACAAGTCAGACAAGGGTAATTCAAGGTAATGAAAATTTTTAATCTTCAATTCAAGTGATCGGAGAAAATTCGTAGCAGAAAACCCCTTATAAGATGGAGAGAACCACATGTGACAAAACAAAAAAACCTTGGCATTCAAGATAGATTACGAGAAAGTCCAACACTTTTCTCCATGAAGCAGAATATCGTTATGACGAAAAATTGCGAACAGCGAATTCAAGTTCCTTTACCAATAGCAACAATGCTTTTATAGTTCCTTCATTACAATTTTGATACGAGGATATTTTACTGGCCCCAATAATTTCGTTGCAATGATATTTTGCCGTATTTTAATGCTAG